AAAAGCAAACTCGAACCAGGCCACCCCCAAATCGTCAGCGCACACGCGTCCAAGCCCATCACCGTCACCCTCAGGGTTCGTTTCAAAGTCCTGGAGCATCGGGGCAGAGGCAAGAGCATACAAGGAGCCCGAGAGGCAACATCCTTGAATGATCCCAGATCCCAGCCAGAAAACTTCCGGAGCACCCCCGCCCGCAGTAACCCCTTGGGACGAAGGAGAGGGGCGCCTCGCAGAGCCCCAGGGCGCCCGGGGGCTGCACGAGGAAGGACTGGGGGGGGCCGGGGAAGGCCTGGCCGTAGTCAAAGCCGAGCAGAATCGGAAACTTGTTTCGCGCGAGCGGGCGCTGAGAGGCCGCGCGGCCCAAGGCGCCAAGCTCATATTACATCAAAAATCACGTCCATATACAAAGCCACGTGGATAAGGCGGGGCCGCAAAGTCCACGACTGGCTTCAGCATGCCATCCACGACCGCACTCAGAATCTCCATGTCAGCATTGCGAAGGCCCAGTACCCGCACCCGATCAGAAGACCTCGCGCAGGCCCCACCCGCTGCGTCGGAGGCCTCGGAGCCCGCGGGGGGGAAAACTCGCAGGGTGACACTGACAGCGTCGAATGGAGCCTGCCCTCGACATAGCCAGCTGAACAAAGAGGCAAGCATGCGGGGGCCGAAATCTACCGCAGCCCACGCGGCATGCGGCAGCCCGCTCACACCAGGGGTCGAGTGCTTAGCCCTCTTGGCGACTTTCTTGAATAGCGGGGCCAGCGGAGCGGCAACCTGGAGATCCTGCGCAGATTTCAGGAAGCGATCGAGGCACGCGTGCGTCGCCGATTCAGCACGGGGTTTCACCGAGAAGACAGGTTCCCAGTAGTCACGCAATGTTCGACGTCGGCCTCCAGGGGGCGACACGAGCCCGTCTGGGCCAGCAACAGACGCGACCACTGGGCGCTTCGAGAACGGGGCCCAGTTTGCAGCCTTTCTTTCCGCAGCACGCAATAGCGGTGACGAGCAGGTACCCCTTGGAGCAGACGCCGAGGATGATGAGGCAGCCGCAGCAGCAGCGATCTCTCTTTCCACGACAGCTTTGCGTACCCCTTCAGTCCGCCGCCGAAAGATGGGCGCATGTCCTAGCGCCACAGAACGACCGTCGACCAATAGAGCGTCTTGTGCGTGCATTGGGGCGTCGAGAAGTCGCGGAGCGAGCCCGACATCGAGTCGCCAGACCGCTATAGAAAAACTAAGCCGGAGTGTCTCCGCCTCGCCCGAGGCCTGGAGGAAGAGAACGTCGCGGGTCCCCCACGCAGCCTCTTTCAACATTAGCTCATAGTGCTCGCTCGAAACAGGAGGGCTCCACGTAAGAATACCACCATCGCCGTCGCTCAGCACGCCCATGAGGCGCTTCTTGACAGGGCCCTGGAAGATGTGCCCCGGGATGGGACGCTCCGTCGGTGGCCGCGCAGCACGCTGTCGCAGCGCGACGTGGACAGCGGCGCGGTCAGACACCAGCTTGGAGCTCGAATCCTTTGGCGAGCCGATCGCCCCAGCCGCGACCGTCAGCTGGCACGTCGCCCAGCCCGTGGCCGAGCAGAAGAAGCGATCGATTGAGCTCACAGAGTTGGTGCGTCGACAAAAGTGAGTGGGGCAGTCCGAGAGACCCCCATCAGGCCCCCCAGCGCCCTGGCCCAGGTCGGAGCATGGACTCTGTGATCATGGGTGGATTGGACCTTGGAGGCTTCAGGCCAGCGAGAAATCAGCGGCCAGCGAGAAATCAGCGCCTCGACAATGCTGAAATTGAGGTCGCCAAGGACAGCGACGAAGGACGAGAGGGGAGAGTGGCGAGCCTGGCGGCTGGCACACCTGATATGTTCACAGACTGTGGCGACCTCCATCCTGGACACGCCGTAGTTATGGATGTTGAAAATCACCATCTGCACCTCGCCGAGCACCACGCCCACGCGCAGCGCGCGTCCAGAAATCAGCCCCAAGGCCGAGCTGGAGACTTTATCCGAGGCAAGGGGCGGCAGAAGGATGGCGACGCCACCAGCTCCTCGATCCCCGCGGTCACCGCGCGGACCTTGCGCACAAAGTCAATCAATGGAGAACGGTCGCCGTGCGCTTCTTGCAGTCCCACCATACTGCTTCCAGTATAACCGCGCCCAAGGTAACCCAACTTCTCCTGGCCCTCGGCCCCGCCGAATTGCAGCAGAGCCCCAGCATTCCAGGCAGTGAAATGCAAAACCGTGCCTCCAGCGGACGTAGGCAGCGAGAAGAGGTCCGCGAAGCCGTCAAAGACACCACTGCGCCTGGGCCGCGGGAGCGCAAAGAGATGATATGGCGTCGGCGAGGGGAGGGCGCTCAAGACCAGGCGCCGCGATGCCCTCGCCGTTCCAATGAACCGTGGAGGGCTCGTCGCCAGGGTGGGCCTCAACCTTGAGGACGTCGGTGAAAAACCAGCCTTGAGGACGCCCCTCTCGCGGTCGACGAACCACCGCTCCTGGGGGAAGGCGCCGCCGAAGACGCCGCGGATCTTGCGAAGGAATATCTCCGCGTGGACTTGCATGGGACTCTTGTCGGGGCCGGGGTGTAGACGGGCAGGGTCGGCTCCTTGGACAGCGCAACGGAATTCCCTCCACTGGCCGTCCTTCTGCAGGCATCCCAGGACACGCTGGACTTTGCGGGGGCTGCGCCCACGGCTCCTTCGAACGTGATCGAGAACTTCTTGGCAGGGAGGGGGGTGAGAGCGCGGATGACATAGTCATCGTCGCGGGAGTTGCGCTCAGCAAGGAAGGCGCCACTCTCGTTGCGCACGCCCTGGAGCCCAACCGACTTCGTAGCCACCACAATAACTTGGGACGGATCAGTCTCACGATCGAAGCCAGGGGAGACGAAGGGCTTCGCAGGGGACGCTATGTCGAGCTCAACTTGCTTGGGGATGTCTGAGATTTCTTTTTGCATAGAGATGATCTGCCGTTCGTGTTCACCCAGGGTCTGTTCCGACTCAGACACGCGCTTGGTGAGCGCATCCTGCTGCATCTGGAATCTCCTGGCGAGCTGGTCGAGCTGAGGACGAATCGCGGACATGATTTTCTGGTCGACAACCTGGACGTGCCCCGAAACCTGTTGGCGCAGCACATCCAAGGTCTTGAGGATCGGGCCACTGGCGGCCTGCAGGGACGAGGTGACCGCAGCTTTGACCATGTCATCCAAACTGCCGCGAAGGGAAGCGAAACGTGCCTCGATGCCAGCACGATAGTAGTGGGTGTTGAAGTCGGGAGAGTCACCCACGTCGTCGTCAGCGTCAATGCGGTACACCTGAGGTTCAGCACGATCAGATTGTTCAGCGCGAGCATGGGCATCGCCACGAGGAGGAAGCCGAGCAGCAGTTTGTGCCCAAGGGTCGGGAGGGCTGCCATCAACTTCATCTGGGAGGGTGGGGAGGATGGCGTCCGCCTGCAGGATGCCGGCTTGCTGGTTGTCGGAAAGGAACTGGCCCCCAGCAGGCGCCGCCATCCAGGCAGCAGGGGCGCCAGGGTCCAACCCACGATGAAAAGCAGGAGCAGGCGGACGACGATCTGCTTCAGGACGAACATCCCAACCACTGGAACGCTTAGGTCTTCCCGAGCGCTGAAGCTCCCCTGCCTTGGGGCGGAAGCGGCCACGCCGCTCCGCGTCCACTGCACTGTTGTCGCTGCGGGAGATAGAGCGAGCAGGCGAGGCACTGCGACTACCATCGGACATCTGGGAGGCGGGACTCTGGGAGGGCGGTAGAGCAATAGATGCGAGGGACGTCGAGCGCAAGCGCTCTGGCACTGCCGCGGACTAGCGGTATCCGTTCGTCTCCCAGGGGGAACACGCATCTTGAGCCAAAATGGCTACGGGGGAGGAAGAGGAGGAGGAGGAGGAGGAGGAGGAGGAGGAGGAGGAGGAGGAGGAGGAGGAGGAGTGGCAGGAGGGAGTAGGTGCAATAATTCAACTGATCCGAGCGAGATGCGTTTGTTGTACTTGCCTCCTGCTGTTCCTGAGCACGCGGTGGCGGAGGTGGCAGATGTGTCTTGGTGGTGCCACCCGCGTCTGCTCCAAGTCGCCAGCCGAACGACACAATAGTTTCGCACCCGGTGGCCGCCGCAGGCTTCCCCTGTCAAGGGCCCTGCTGCCGCCAGTGTGAATACCTGGGACGCCCTCTCCATCCCCCCCGCTGGCGGAGGGAGGAGGATGTCCGTCCACACCTAATTAACCCAACCGAGTCACTTCAATTTGAACGGAAGGGGGGCGAAATGGAAAGGGCCCGACAAGGACATATAGATATCAGCAGGAGGGAGGAAGGGGGGAGGCGGGGAGGAGGGAGGAGGGATGAGGGAGGAGGGGGAGCAGGGAGGGGACTTCCCTCCCCTCCCCTCAGCCCCTTCCCTCCTCCACGCCAACCTTGCCTGGATCCTTCGCCCCTCTCCAACCTCCCGAGAGCCACATGTTGAAAAGGAACCGCCCTCAATCCGCGAAATTCTTACAATTGTTTACAACGAATGTGCGCGGCGCCAAGGCGAGAGCCACATTTTGAAAACGGATTATCCTCAATCCGTGAAACTCTTGCCTTTTTTACAACAAATGCGCGGCGCTAAGGCGAGAGCCACATTTTGATAACGGGCAATCGTCAATCGGTGAAACTCTTGCAACTTTTTAGAATGAATGTGCGCGGCGCTAAAGCGAGAGCCACATTTTGAAAACCACCCGCCCTCCATCTGTGAAGCTGTTGCCAATTTGCAGCAAACTTCAAGATCATAAATGGTGAGGCAGTCTGAGGGGCGAAACGCCCGGCCCGCCCTCGAAACTGGCCCCGGGATGCGACAGGGACAAGTTATTTAGAAGGAAAAGGAATGGAGGAGGAGGAGGAGGTGGAGGTGGAGGAGGATCGAGGAGGAGCCAGTATGATTTTTGTTGCTGTGGCCTGCTGCAGGCCAGGCTTCGAGCATCGAGCCTCGCGCACGAGGAATCCCCCCCCCGAGGGCCTCGGCGCCCGAGCCCAGCAGCGCCACCGCAGCCGCGGCGGCCACCGCCCTGGCCGCGAGCGCCCGGGGCCAGGCCAGGCGCCGGCCCGATCCTGGAAGGGCGGGGCGCGGCATCGTCGTCGTCGTCCACGCCGACGGCGACGACGACCACCACCACCACGACGACGACGACCACCATCACCGCCACCACCACCACGACGACGACGACGACGGGGCGCGTCGTCGATCGGTCGGCGTCGACGCCCCAAGAGCGGCGCCCCGAGAGAGCCCCAAGAGACGAGCCTGAGGGCACAGGCGGGGGGACTGGCCCTGACAACCCCCCGTTCTTCCATCGACGGCCTCCAAGATGGCCCCACGAGGGGGGCCCCCAAGGCCAACAGCAGGGCCCAAAGAGACCCCCCAAAGGACCCCCTCTTCCCGAGGCCCAAGACCAGCCTCGAGAGGCAATTGGGACAGGCTGGCCGCCTCGAGTTGATCGAGGCGCCAGATGTCTGGGGAGAAGGGGGAGAGGCAGGTCGGGGCCTGGCCAAAGATGTCCCCAGCATTTCGCTCCCTTGCAGAGCCCTCCCTCGTGAGGGGGTGCCCTGGAGGCCGTGAGGGCCTTCTTGGAGATCCTGGGGACACCTTGGGCCAAGAACACATCTGTTTCTTCCAATACGGGGGTTCCCAGAATCCCGACCCTTTCCCCAGGACAGGTTTTGCACCCCGAGCCGATTTTCGACACTCCTGGAGCCTGGCGAGGGCCCCCGAAGGCCACAAACTACGAAGACCTTCGCATTGAATTGTTTATTACTTTGAACGTATGTGTATCCTTGGGAATCCTGGGGAGACCTTCCCCGACATCGGACGTTGCACAGAACACGCAACACCGTGGCAAAAACACGCCCAAAGCCCTAGAGCCCATCTTTCTGCGCCATTCTTTTCTGGGCCCGAAGCCGGGCGAACAAAACTCCCGGCGTGAAACAAATGCAACACCTGGATCTCATGGCTGGGCCAGGGACACCTCTGGCAACACCCGAGCAGCAGGCAAACGGGGTGACGACGCGGAGGAGCCGGAGGAGGAGGAGGAGGAGGAGGAGGAGGAGGAGGAGGAGGAGGAGGAGGAGGAGAACAGGGCAGGAGGAGGAGGACGAGGAGGACGAGAAAGCCCTCCGGCTCAGAGCTCGAGGCCCCGTCCCTTCCCGGGGCGCGGCCGAGGCCCGCCGCCCTCGAGGAGGACCGCGAGGCGCCCCACGTTGTCGCCGTCGAGGATCCTGCGCAGGGCGCCGGGCCACCTGGGCGAGGGTCAGAAGCGGGTCTCTGCGCGAGATGGCACAGCGACCTTACGCCCGCGGCTTGCGCGGGCCGCCAGCGCGGCAGGCCACACTGGAGACGAGGGCGCTCACGCGCGACCTTACGCGGGCAGCTCACTCGCCCATGTCGGTGCAGACGACCCGGTTTTGTGGTGTCGCTCACCTGTCGAAGCCGTGGACGACGGTCTCCTCTCGAGGAGCAAAGAAAGCTTAGGTCCTGGCGTCTCACCTTGCTCGAGGCGAGCGTTTTTTCGGCGGGCCCTGGGCATGAGGACCATCACTGGTCGCCTCAGCTCGAGAATAGCGCAGGCTGACAAGGTCTCGGGCTCAAGGTGGGCTTGTCTCACGATGTTGCAGTGTTGTTGCCATGTCGGATCTCAGGGAAAGGCATCAGCACAAACCTTCGGAGGTCCGCGCTGATTTCTCGGATTTGCGCTGGGGCCCCGTAGCGGCGCCTCTGGAACCGCCCCTGGCGCGCTCCGCGCGCCAGGATGCGGGGTCCGGCGCCGATATGAGAAATCCACGCGGACCTCCAAAAGCTCACGTTGATTCATTTTCTTCTTCGGTCCTCGGAGCGGAGCAGGCCGCCGCGCACGAGGTCGCCGAGTTCCTGGTAGGCCCGCTTCTTCTGCGGCGGCGTCATGTCGGTCACCAGTATCCCCTCCATGGTGAGCCGTCGCATGATCATCACGCCCATGTGCTTGAAGCCGTAGTGGTCTGCGGGGCTCTTGTCGTAATCGCTGATGACCCCGCAGATGACGATCTTCCCTCGGAGCTTCATCTGGGGGGCGATCACCTCGAGCTGCTTCCCACCTACGAGCTCGATGTCCAGGTCCACGCCCTCGGGTGCCAGCTCCCGCAGCCGAGCGGCCAGATCCTCTTCCCGGTACGCCACGAGGTGGTCGAATCCACCGATATGCCGCAAGCGGTCAGCCTTCTCGTGTGTGCTGGTCACGCCAATGACTTTGCAGCCCTTCAGCTTGTACAGCTGGCCCACGACCATGCCTGTGGCGCTCGCGGCGGACGTCACCACGACGGTGGCGCTGCATGGCTTCTCGACCCGCCCAGATGCAGTGTTTTCCACGATGTGCCAGGCGGTGAGACCAGCGCCCATGCAGAGGACTGACAAGTACTTCTCAGCAGGAAGCTGCTCGGACACGTTGGCGATGCGGTATCGCTGCTCGGCGCCCTTGAACTTGAAATACCGCTGCAGCGGGGCATGGCCCTCGACGAAGGAACCGACGGGGTACGCGTCGGAGTTGGATTCCACGACGCGGGCGACCACATTGATGCGAGGAGGCAAACCCAGCCGCCACTGCCCCATCTGGCCTCGGTACGTTGGCTGCGTGGACAGCGCGACGCTGGCCGCGCGGACCTCCCCTGGGCCGATCGGTGGTGGGGGCCCGATGTCATGCTTCTTGAAACACTCCTGTGGGTCGAAAGCACCAGCTGGGCGCTTCACGTAGAGCCATGCCTCGTTTCGCGGCGCAGCGGCGAAGGCCACGGCAACGAGGGTTCCGAAGCAGCAACATAGCGGCACGGCACTGAGCCGCATCCCGGACACCCGCACGACATCGCGAGCGGTCCGCGCTGAAACCAGCCCGGCCGCCGCTCGTCGCGATGGTGCCAGCGCGGACTGCTACGGCGGACGCCTGATGCCTGGGTCGAGCATGCTTGAGCCTCAAAGATGGCTGGATGTCGCACAATCCAGGCATCCAGAGGCCCTTGAATGCCAAAGAGCGCCCAAATAACTCCTGGACGACGACGACGACGACGACGACGACGAAGACGACGACCACGACGACGAAGAGGACGACGACGACGACGACGACGACAACGACGACGACGACGACGACGACGACGACGACGACGACGACGACGACGACGGCACGACGACGACGACGACGACGACGACGACGACGACGATGGCAGCGGCGGCGGCGATGGCGATGGCGACGCCGGCAACGACGGAGGCGGCCACGACGACGGCAACGCGGCCGCGGCGGGCGCCCCTCCTCATCCTGGTCCTCCCCCTCCAGGAGTGCCCTGCACGATGTATGAGTCCTGGGGCGAAGACCTATACTGGGACCTCTTCATCAGCGTGGGGCATCCACAAGGCTCCCCGATCCTCCCCCGCTGTGCTCGCGCGACCCGTGCCCATCCACACCTTCATCCAGCAGATGGCGCTGGCGGAGGCGAAGCAAGAGGCCGCAGCCAGCCCCGCCACAGGCCGAGGGGGCGGGAGGCAGGAGGGGCAGCAAGCAGATCAGGGCTGGCATCCTTCAGCCGCACAGCGGCGCCTCCTCGACCCTCCACACTCGAGCTCCCTAAACCGCTGCACCAAGTCAAGGGCAGCGGCGGCGGTGGGCGCTGGCGGCGGCGGGCGTCGGCGGCGGCAGGTCCCGAGCGGCGGTGCGCCTGGCGGGCGAGCGGCGCCCCGGGGAGCCCTGCGTCCATCGCGGCGCCCTGGCGTGGGCGGCGGCGAACCTCCTCGCCGCTCAGGGCTTCAGGCTTCAGGCTGCGGGTTGGTCTGCCGGGTGAGTTGGGGCCCTCGCCCCCTTCTCACCCTTCTCCTCCCCAGCAGCAAGAAGCTTTGCTGGGGGGTCGCGGCGGGGGCCGCAAACGTGGGAGGCACAGCAGCCAAGCGGGGAGGCGCCCCCGGAGGCGAGGGAGGACGCGGAGCGGGGGACACGAGGAGGAGCAAGAGGAGAAGAGAAAGAGGGAGGGACAAGCCAGGTGCGCTCGCGCCATATCTGGCATCCGACCCCTCCCACCCATCCCTTCTCATTGCACTGTGCTTTCTCCATCCGCCGACGCGTGTCACAGCGGACCGGGAACCCCGAAGAGGACCTCACCGTTTGTGCACTCGGAAATAAGGAGTTGTGCGTACTTGGAGGAGGAGGTGGCGGATGAGCAGGAGGATGGGCAGGAGGAACAGGAGGAGGAGGAGGACGACGACGGCCAGCAGCAGCAGGAGCTGCAGCAGAAGGAGCGGGAGGAGCAGGAAGACCAGGGGAAGGCGGAGGAGGGAAAATGAGGGGGCGACAACAATGAAGAAAAACTCGGATCCAGAAAAGTGGCCCGCGCTGGAGCGAGAACACAATTCTAAATAACGGAAGCAAGGCGCCGATCCGAAAACGAGGCCCACGCTGCAGCGGGACGCATCGTAAAAACATGTCCTCGCGAAGGACCCAGCCGTACGCAGTTTGTGCGTACCACGGTAGTAAATATCGTCTTCTGTGGAGCTCCCTATGGGCACACGAAATTATGTGAGGGGGTGTGCAGAAATTGACGCGGCGGTGCCATGCGGACGCTGCCACTGGGCCTTCGGTGGAGCTCCCTATGAGGCCGTCAAACGTCTGAGGAGTGTGCCGACATGGGCGCGGTGGTACCATGCGAGCGCAGCCACTGAGCCCTTCGGCGGAAAGCCCGATGGGGCCACGAATCGTTTGAGGGGTGTGCTGGCATGGGCGCGGCGGTGCCATGCGGGCGCTGTCACTGGGGCCTTCGGTGGAACTCCCCACGAGGGCACGACACGTGTGAGGGATGTGCAAAAATTGGTGCGGTGGTGTCATGCGGGCGCCGGCTGCCACGGGGGCCTTAGGTGGAGCTCCCTGTGGGGCTACGGATAGTGTGAAGGGTCTGCCCATAGGGGCGCGACAGTACCATACGGACGCTGCCACTGGGGCATTAGGTGGAGCTCCCTGTGGAGCCACGAGACGTGTGCCGAAAAGGGCGCGACGATGTCATGCGTGCGCAGCCACTGGGCCTTAGGTGGAGCTCTCTTTGGGGCCACGAAACGTGCGGGGGGGGGCCGACACGGGTGCGGCGGTGCCATTAGGTGGAGCTCCCTATGAGGCTACGCAACGTGTGAGGGATGTGCCGAGACGGGCGCGGTGGTACTATGCGAGCGCAGCCACTAGGGCCTTGAGGCGGGGCTCCATATGGGTTCAGGAAACGTGTGAAGGGTGTGCCAACATGGGCGCGACGGTGCCATGCGGGCGCTGCCACTGGAGCATTAGGTGGAGTTCCCTATTGGCCCCACGAAGCGTGTGAGGGCGCGTCGACATGTTGCAAGGATGAGAGAAGGAGGAAGGGAGGTGAGGAGTGACGCGGGGCGCTTTCTTTCAAAACGAGGACCCAAGACCACAGGATGGTAAGAAAAAACCATAACGCGATCCTGGCGAAGGACCCAACCATATGCAGTTGTGAGTACCGAGGTTGTGAATATCGTTTTCTGTGGAAGTCCCTGTGGGGCGACGAAATACGAGAGGAGTGTGCAGAAATGGGCGCGGTGCCATGTGAGCGCAGCCACTAGGGCCTTCTGTGGAGTTCCATCATGGGGCCACGAAACATGTGAAGGGTGTGCCGAAACGGGCGCGGTGGTGCCATGCGGGCGCTGCTATCAGGGCCTTAGGGACCACGAAACATGAGACGGGAGTGCCGACATGTGTGCGGTGGGGCCATGTGAAGCCAGCTACTGGGGCCCTGGGTGGAGCGCCCTATGGGCCACACACGTATGAGGGGTGTGCCGAAAAGTGCGCCCTGGCGCCATGCAAACGCAGCGACTGGGGCCCTCAAGGGAGTTCCCTATGGGGCCACGAAGCGTGTGACGGGTGTGCCGAAATTTGCGCGGTGGTGCCCTGCGAGCACAGCCACTGGGGTCTTGAGGCGGAGCTCCCTATGTATCCCTGAAACGTGTGAAGGGGTGTGCCGAAACGGGCGCGGTGGTGCCATGCGGGCGCAGCCACTGGAGCCCTCGGTGGAGCGCCCTATGGGGCCACGAAACGTGTGAGGGGTGTGCCGAAACAGAAACATGCGGAGGGCGGACGCACAGATGTTAGGACCCAACCACATGCAGTTGTGAGTACCGGGTTGTGAATATCGTTTTCTGTGGAGTTCCCTATGGGGCCACGAAGCGTGTGAGGGGTGTGCCGAAACGGGCGCGGTGGTGCCATGCGGGAACTGCCACTGGAGCCTTCGGTGGAGTTCCCTATGCAGCCACGTAGCGTGTGGCATGTGCGTGCCGAGACTGAAATTGGGGCCTTAGGGAGCGCTCCATATGGCGCCGCGAAGCGTGTGAGGGGAATGCCGACATGTGCGCGGTGGGGCCATGCGAGGGCAGCTGCTGGGGCCCTGGGTGGAGCGCCCGATGGGCCACGACACGTGTGAGGGGTGTGCCGAAAAGTGCGCCCTGGCGCCATGCAAACGCAGCCACCGGGGCCTCAGAGGAGGTCCCCATGGGGCCACGAAGCGTGTGAGGGGTGTGCCGACATGGGCGCGGTGATGCTTTGCGAGCGCAGCCACTGGGGCCTTGAGGCGGAGCTGCCTATGGATCCACGAAACGCGAAAGGGGTGTACCGAAATGGGCGCGGCGGCTCCATGCGGGCGCAGGGGCCCCCTGCGGAGGGCAGAGGCACGGATGTCAGGATGGGAGGATTGAGGAAGGGCAGGAGGAGCGGAAGGAGACGCGGGGCGCTGGCTCTTCAAAACAAGGACCCAACACCACTTTTCTTTGATCCGCGGGTCGAGAACGCACCTCTTCCGGTCGAAACTAAGCGGGCCGCGCACAACTTTAATTGACAGATGGGGGAAGGCAGAAGGAGGGGCCTCACGTCATGGCCAAAAGCGGGCAAAGCCCCGGAATCAGGCAGTGCCGAAGACGATGTGCTTGCAAAGAAACGACTTGCACAGGAACCTGGCGGCGAAGTACCGGAAGAAGCAAAATGCTGCGGTGGTGGTGCCGTCAGCGGCGCGTCATGTACACCAGCCTCAAATGGCCGCGGGAGGGGACGCACCACGTATCCAGGGCGACGCCCGAGAGGGTGAGGAGCACCGCTGGGCCGGAGTGCAACGTTGTGCCACCGAACAGGATGCAGGAGAGGCCCAGGCCGCGGTTGTCCAAGGTGCCACGTACACAGGGAAAGAGAGCCACAGTCTGAGGCGCGGCTGTCAGGTCAAGCCAGGGACATGCCGCCCATGACCGACAGGGTGCCGGTGTGCTGCAGGGAGGACGCCTGCCCTGCAGTGGCGAGCGCGTGGGATTGGGCCGAAGCCGCGCACGCGGAAAGGGCCGAATACCCTCGGGGCACAGTCAAGGGAGATAGGAGAGTAGCACTCATAACGTATAATCCCACCAGCCCTTTGGGCGTGAGTGGTCCATGGAGCTCGCACTTAAAACTCATTCTTTCCCTTCGGGGAGGGGGCTCATCCTCCCCCACCCCCTCCCCTCGGCTTCCACAAGGTGCCAGAGAATCTTTTTTGGCCCCCAGGTGGCTCTAAGAGGGCCCCAAAAGAGCCCGACATGGCATCCAAGATCGCTCACGGCATCCCGAGATGTTTCAAGATAGCCTCCCACATGTCTCCAAGAGTCCTCCAGATCGCCCCAGGACGGCCCCAAGTGCCCTCCGAGCCTCCGAAAGAGGCCTCCGCCGCGTCGTCGTCGTCGTCCTGCGTTTCTCGCTGCTGCCCTGGTCAAGTGGTTGCCTGTCGTCCCCCCTGTTTGCTATATGACCGCGTCGTCGGTGCTTGCGTGCCCAGAGCAACGGACGCCTTGTCCTCGCGGCTGTACTCGCGCGAGAACGGGGCGAGCTGCCAGGCCGCTGGGGGCCCTCGTCCGCTTCTGCGCGCTCGCTCGGCGACTCTGCTGGGGATGCCGGTCGCGGACCGCCGAAATCCACAGAGTGGTCCCATTCCCTGGGAGTGCCGCTGGCGCCGTCATGCACGTCGTCGTCGTTCGCGGCACCAGGTGGGTCGAGCTCCTCCTCTTCGCCCTCGACCTCTTCGTCGACCTTGTGGTCTTCTTGCTTGCCACGGAGGGGCGCCGGCCCCGCCCCTGAGCCTCCCGGGGCCAGGTCAACTTGACCAGGAAGCCACGCTGGGCCACCCCTGCCAGGGTGGTGGCCCGCGCGCCGGCCCGGGGGTGACTCGCTGACCTCTGGCTCGGGAGCGAGCCACGCCACCGTTCTCACACCTGCTGCAGTCTCCAGAAACACCTCACTGCCCGGGCTCGTGACTGGGCCCAGGCGCGCCAGGTCAGCGACGGCGGCTGTCGCAAAGGCGCTCGCGTCGAGGCCCACCAGGAAGTTGGCGAGCACTGGGAGCTCGCGCCGGAATGGGCTGGGCCCCCTGCCTCGCGCCACGGAGGTGCAGTGCTTCTGCCAGGTTTCGCTGTGAACTGGGCCGTTGGCGAAGTGCTTCACCACTCTGGCGGCCGCCAAGCCCTTGCCGCCCCAGTCGACGCGTGGCGGCGAGCCGCTCGCGGGAACCTCTGCACCGCACATCCTGGCCAGGAAAAGGACCAAGCTGCTAGCCAGCCAGGAGGTTTCCTGATCCTTTGGCTCTGGGATGGCACCGCCCTCAACTGCAACGCACTCCTGCCAGATCGGGTCGACGTCTGGGTGAAATTCGCGGAGGTAAGTAACCAGGAGGTGCTGCACCTCGCGGAGTTGGTTGGTCCGACTGCG